TTAAAATTTTCCATTTGTTTTTTTAGCAAATTTTTAAATGTCAATAGCTTTATAATTAATGAACAAAATTTAATAATATTTTTTTTTATTTAATAGACAAAAACGACTATTTTCATTTAAAAAAAAATCTGTACAAAGTTACACATAAGATTGTCATTTTACAGGCCAGTGACAAAACTTTTCAAATGCCCCACATATTATGACCATTTAAATTGAATATCTTTTTTTGTTCTTTTTCCATGTCCATTTAATTATTCAATAACCTCCATAGAGAATAATGGAGTTAATCAAGCCAAAAGCATAGATTGAGGTTGTTTTCGCACTTCCCCCTTTTTTACACTTTGTTTTTCTTGGTTTTCAGCAATTCATACTCTGAGACTCATTTTTTTTATCAGAGAAATCAAATGATGATCATGTGATTTTTACATGTAATCATCAAGGATTCCAATGAACAATAAATAGTAGCCTTACCAAAAGATACACAAAGACCACTAAAGAACATTCATTACATTAAATATTTAGTTACATCAACTTTTATTTATTTTAGTTATATTTCTAATTTATCTTATATTATTATTATTATTGAATTTTTATTATGACTTAGCAAACAGATCATTTCATAAATGAGTATGAATTAGAAAGCTTAATTTTGTTAAATATTAAACCAATTAATGAGATTCACACCAATAACCTTTTTTCCTTTATCATTATAAACATCCTAGTAATAATTATTAATTATGTATTGATGAAATTTTCATTCAATTTATGATAGAGTTAACTAACATATTAAGATCAAGAAAAAAAAAAAGAATAATAAGATACTTTTATAAAATAATTCAATATTAAATAATAAATGTCCTACATGAATTAAAAATTAAAAAATTCATGTGAAAATATGCCCAGCAATTAATCATTATCACTATCATTCCTTCATAGCAGCTTCCTTACTATTCCACATTAATATTCAAAGTTCTAAGTGCTTGGTGTCCCTGACTTGGGGTAACAAAACTTGGTTCCTTCATGATTAACTTCCCTCTGTATTTAAATTCTCTGTCTCCTTTTTGTTCTGGAAAATATTCATCATCATTTTCATTACCTTCATAAACATTGTTAGCAATCATTATAGGTTTTTCAAGAAAAGATACATAATGTTCATTAGATGCGAGGTCAATCATGTAAGCAATTGATTTAAGTAACATGGGATTTGTCATAATGATGCTCAACACATGTAGCCACCCATGGCTACTTTCTCTATTCCCCTTTTAGGGAACCAAGTTTGATCATATGTTGACATAACACCATACCTATTTTTGTAAATAATAAAAGGAGGAATGTATTTTTTATTTGCCTTAAACTGTTGGCACACATATAGCCGTAGGTTTGGTTTATGGGATTAAATATTGAGGCACCATTAGAATAAATAAATGATCCTTCTCGAGTTTCTTTTTTCCTTAATAGAGTGAGACAATATCTTTGTTTGGTGGTATATTTAAAACCCATTTAGTTTTGCATTCCCAAACCACAAGTAGTATCATATCGCTGTTAACTATTACAAAATCTGGCTGTCCAACAGTACCCTTCAGGATTGGCAAATGTGCAGTCTATTGTCCATTAATGTAACACTTTAACCATATTTAGTATTTTATTAATGGCAATGGACCAGTCCAAAATCCATCTGTTCTCAATGGACTAGTCAATTTGCCAACCCTGGTGCCCTTTAAAGCATGACCATCCAAAAAAAGAATTGATCAATCAAATGGTGTTAATGTCTCAAATATATTCACATCTGATGCTGTCCAGATGTCCTTTTCACAAGTGACTGTAATACTTCTTGTTCAAATCCTGTCCAATTTGCAATCTCATCAGGGAACCGTTTCTCAGTAGATTCAGTGTTCAAATCTGACTTATTACACAACTCAAGATAGATTAAGTCTGGTAAAGTATTGTGAATGACCTTTGATAAAGAAATTCCTTCTGAAAGAATTGAAGTTTGTTTAGGTTCCCTTTTTTTGTTTGTAACAATTCATAAATTAATTTCACAATAATATTTGTTAATTAAATAGAATTGACCAACCACCATTATTATAACAATAATAAATAACACTTACACAAGCGCTTCTGATTGGTTTTTGTCAAATTTTCTTTTTTATCTTGTTTTTTGTTCTTGGGCATTTTTTATTTTTTTGGAGAAAAATATAATAATAAAGTTGTCATTTGATCAACATACAGTCAGGGATATTTTCATAAATAGGTTGGTGGCGAACACTCCTTTTATAGTAAGTAATAGTGATCAAATCATCATACAGTGCGGATCATCTATACTCAAAAGTTAAAATTTTTGAAATATTATGTGATCCACACATTGGATTTTAAAAA